ACTTCTAGTCGGTGTAGCTTCACATATGAGTTACACACAATTGTATACTCAAAGTTTCTTATTTCTGCTTTGAGAAGGAAACTGGTAAGCGCTGACCGACATATCGGATATTTATCATTTACCTTCTTACTGTCGTCAAATACGGCTTGATATTATTTGACGATAGACATTAAGTAAATACAGGGTGCTAGCTTCTAGTTGTAGTAAAAACAAGATACTAACTACCATAGTCATATAACGAGTTGCTATGCGCTACCTTACAGGACATCAGAAGTAATAACACTTTCAAAATGTAAATCGATTAGTCTGAAGTGATTTGGAGAACTGAGGGATAAAGCTGCGTTTTGGAGACAAATGCTTCATTGTTTAGACTGAAAATATTCTCGAAGCTTTTGTGTTTCCCTCTTTTTACCTTCATGAAATGGAACCTTGAACTTCTTCTTAAAGGTCATCTTCCTCTTGTTATCTTAAAGAATGCTATACTGTAGAAATAAGTTTTTCTCACACTTTATAAAAAGATGAAACCTCTTCAAATTTGTTGTCTAACAAGAAGGATTCAGTGACCAGAGAAGTAAACGCAAGTGAAATTTATACAGATAACTGATATTTGCAGCGGGGATTATATCTGAATGAAGTGCTTATTTTAGCTAATGAAGCATCTGAAAATGTCGAATAATAATAAAGCGTTTCATGACAGGAAATTACACGTAGACCACACATTAAACAAGACATAAACTGTGTAAACTGTGTAGAAAAAGGGAAACGCGACACACTGTATAAGTTCAGCTGTTTAAAATAATATTGAAAAATACTATAAAATAATGTAGTCATCTTGGTGACTAGTAACGAAATCCACTACGCCTGTTTCGTCCTTTTTGGGACTATTCAGTATAGTGGCCTATGCATAGGAGCCAATATGCTAACGGAGGTTGTCCAGTTAGACCCAGTATGGTGACGGTAAATTACAAGTAATAATAAACATTTATAAAATCTATTCTAAGTTACTTTTATATTTATTTAACATTTCGCTTGCACTAAAGTTGAACATATGATTGATCGACTAACACTTCATCCATTAGTGTACAGTTTTCACTTATCGCTATCATATGTCTGTAAATCAATTACGTTCATTAAGATAATGTTATCAATATCAGCTCTGTTCCAGTTAAATGTCATTGAAGAAGTGTCCTGGGAATATTTTCAAAATGATTATGAAGTTCGATTTTATGATTCATTTTATTATATGCTAAGACTCTTGTTGCTTAAAAAGATGTTTAGAGATGTGAACAACTAGTTCTTGGATCTTACACTACGGAATCAAGAAACCTTAGTAGACCAGAAAGTATTTTACTCTGGAATAAGTGGTTCATTCTAAGTATCAGAATGCAACGGATAAATTCATTCTCCTCCTCTAACCTAATTACAACCAAGCAGTTTTGTCAACATTTCATTTATTAAGATTTTACATTTGTTGTAATGAATATTAGTTCAGATAACGATCTATTCCATTTTACATTTCGTTAGTTTTCTTCTACTCCCCATGTAGTCGTTTTGCTTCCCGTTAGTTTCTGAAAGCTTGTATAGATTGCGACACAAACCTTAGTCAGTTTACTAGTGAACAAACTTTCCACACATTTTGTTGACATTCACATCTTTATTAGAAAGCTGTCAGCAGACCATATCGACCCACTTACAGTCTAGAGGTATATTTACTGAATTTTATTTTCATCGTATTTATGAAAAATCTGTTGTCGTAAACCTGAATCACACTGAAAGGTTAGTAGATAGGTAGATTGAAATAACGAAGCAGATGTTGTAATGATAATGTGTAATTTCCCGTTACTATACAGGTCCAAGTTGTCGACATCTGTTGGTAGATGGGTTCCTATGCCGAAGCCTCGATACTGCCACATATTCATGGTCTTTTATTTATCTTGGTGACTGCCAGAAGAACCCAGGATGCGCGTTTCGTCATGCTTGTGACTTGTTAGCTGGATGTATCTGGAGCCCAACGAGTGATGTTATTCCCATTGAGGCTCCAACCCAGTACCTTTCTCTTCAAAAGCTAAATCCTTGTCCACGAAGCCACCGGGGCACGATAACCACATCAGAAAAAGCGCGTACTGGATTCCTGTGCCAGTCACCGAGATTAATATAACATCATGAATATCTGAAAGTATCGAGGCTTCCATATAGGAACCTATCTGCCAACAGAGTTTCAGCAGTTTGGCCCTGTATAACAACCAGAAATTACAATAATCGTAACAACAACTGATACCCGTTGCACAAGTGGTGGCTATCGTGACCCAGTGGCTTCTTGGATAACGCTTTGGCGTTTTGAACCGAAGGGCACTGGGTCCGAGCCTCAGTGGGGACAAAATCGCTCATTGGAATGCAGATACATCCAGATGATGAGTTTCAAATATGACGGAAAGTGCGTCCTGGATTCCTCTGCTAGTCACCAACAATAATGAAGCAGAAATTCATGCGCAAAACGCAAAGTGAGCATACCTACACGAAAATCTTTAGACGCCTATTCTTTTTCATCAACTTGAAATGAGAAAGAAGATCGAATGAAGTGGAATAACATGGATCATTTTATTTTTTTGGTTTCATTTCAGCAGCTCACAACCTAAAACATTTGCAGTTAACTCTGCAGTGATACTCATGAAAACATCGAATTCACCATGTAATAAGAAAAGTCCAACATTTTATCCACCGACTTACAAAGTGGAAAGCAAGTTACATAATACAAATGCGGCTACAGAAAAGGAAAATAAACACTGAATTAAGAAATGAAAAGTATAATTGCGCAACACATTATTCATTTGGGACAGTCAAGGTTTTGTAATGGCCATGATAAATACAAAGGTTGAAAGTATCCTCATTTGTATTAGATAACTTCTTTCCGTTATTCAGTATATTTCGCCCCTTGATCGGAAATAATTCTGCAGTGTTCTACCCACTATAAAATGTGTTTACAAATGTACAGGTTAGTGAGTGACTCCATCGAAAAGAAAGCTTTTTCTTTGCTGCAACCACTTTTTATCTTTTCATGTCATCAAATGGGTGTATTTCACTGTTTAAAAGGGAAACCATGTTATTCTTCAAAGGTCTACCTAAAGAAAGACTCTACTTAAATTTCATCAGCTTTCCTTCATTCAGTTTTAAATGAGCACTAGTCAGAATACTATTTCATAGATCTAGAAGGATATGTTCAGGCGGTAAACTTCAAGAAGATTTGCTAAGCAGTGAAAAGCTCCTGAGAAATAACAGTTGCACATTGAAGTTAATCAGTAGGTATGGAATGTTTAAAGACTATACATTTAAAAGAATAACACTTGAGGAAAAACCAGTTTTTACTTAATTCGACTTCAAAGCTAAAGAAGGCTGAAACAGTGCCAAGTAGAACAAATCCTGTAGCTGAGTTAATCTCTCTATATATACAAAACAAAGCGTTCATTGGGACAATCAAAATTTGACAAGTTCCTTTCTCGTGTTACCTCTAATGGCTTACATCCAGCTAAAGTAGTTACACTAGGAGAACAACGAGGAGGGTATACCTTAGATCCTTTAAACCTGTACTAGCAAACCAATGTCTCAGGGAAGCAAGTGGTTTCAGTAGTGTAGTCGTCCAACATCTTATCGACACATAGTATGAAGTGGACATCAGAATTATGAGTTTCAAAAGAAGTAGTGATCTGTCTTTCTTTACCCCAGTAACCGAATGTTTTACACTTCCTCCTATTTAATAACATCATCGTCTGAATAAAACGTTTTCTATTTGTTCCAAAATGTTGGTGGTTACTTCACAAAAAGTATGATCAAATTCATTTTTGTTTTGTGATACTTAATTGCTTCAGTTTGCGAGCCACCGATGAGAAACTGGCGATATTTAATGGAACCATACTATTTTACTCCAAGGCTGCCTACTATCACCAATGATATTCCTCATTCTACTGCACTGAATCATGAAATAAACAGTGAGGAGAGAGAAGAGGAGCACACGATAGCTGAACCGTGGAAAAGAACCTAGAAGACTTGGATTTCGACCACAAATTATGCCCAAGGTCACACAAACTTGAAGATCTACAGGAGAAAACTAACAAGTTGACAGAAGAGGCAGGACACCGAAGGAAGACGGGACTTCAAGTGAACGCAGAGAAGACAGAGGTGATGAAGACACCCAACCAACCAACCAACACCAACAACGCCACCAACAACAACAAACTCCAATCACGATCAATGCGAGAAACGTAAAGGCAGTAGCCTCTCACACCTATCTAGGCAGCACTGTTTCAACTACAGGTGGCGGCACAGACCAGGAGGTCGAAGCCAGCCAGGATCGGAAATACAGCAAGACAGAACTCCCTTCATTAACCTGAAACCAGTGTGGAGATCTTCTGCACTCAGCAGCATTAAGCGTGAACAACATCCGGATTTTCAACACCAACACCAACACCAGTCAAGTCAGTGCTTCTGTGTGATGGTTGAGAGACTTGGCGCGTTACGAAAGGGATTTACAACAAACCACAGACATTCATCAACAACTGCCTACGCCGGCTCGTTACTGACACTGAAGATCAGATCGCCAGAATGATAATAATAATAATAATAATAATAATAATAAGCAAGAAGGAACTGTGATTGGCTGGCTGGCTGGCTGGCTGGCTGGCTAGCTGACAACGAACCAACAACAATCAACAAATATGCACTGGAAGGAAGTGGAGATGGATCGTATTGGGCATACACTGAGAAGACCGAGTGGAGACATCACACGTCAGGCTAGGCCAGGTGGTCGAGTGGAACCCAGATGGGAAGCGACGAGTTGGACGTATGTGGTGGGGGTGACATGGAGGAGATCGTGCGAAGAGGAAATGAGAGCTTGAGGGCTGTCGTGGCGACAGGTTCGAAGGATTGCAGAGAAGCGAGTGGAATGGATACGTGCTACTGAAGTTCTATGTTTCATCAGGAACCCAAGGGTTAAATAACAATTATATGTATATATGTATATAATTTTCGCATCTATTTAACATTTGTAGGTGCAATTAACAACAAAACTTAACAACGACAATTTTTTTTCTTCGTCTTACTTAAACAAGAGACTTGTCAAAGAGTCGTTAAAATGAAGTTAATATTCACAGGTTGTGACCGAAATACATATGTCCTTCATTGTCACTGTTTATCAAATTCAATCAAGGTACATTTCCTAAGTCTCAAGTGACTTCAGGCAACGGTGACCTTTGAATGATATTCAAATTTACAATAAGACAGTTATTATCCATATGGAAAGTAATTGAATCAGGATCAGGAATGCAATCTGATGCTTCATATTCTTTATAATACGTTCGTTGAACCATATGTTTTAAATCAGAGCCATTCACATTGTATTTCTCTGTTGGATAGTCAAGGTAGGTGGCAGTAACGCATACTGAACGTTGGACAACAGTGACTTTTACATTTTCTTCTTTATAGTTTTGATCTAAAGGGATCATTAAAACTAGTCGATTTCCTTTGCGTATTGTTTGATGCTGATCAAGTTGGTTGCTCTGTGACTTTTCATTATTGCGTAGTATGATATAGTTCTCATTTGTTACATATTTCCTGCATCCGTTGGATTCTGTTCTATCACTTTCGTCTGTGTGGGTTTCATTTTTTTGTTCGGTTAAATTCTCAGACATGTATGGGATGTTGATCAAAAGAAAACCATTGCGTAAAAGCACAATATTAGAATTTTCCACTATTACATTAAGTGGAACAGTTAGAGTATTCTGGACTTCACGACAGATGATTTCATCAGATTTTTCAGTTTTGGTTTTTGCATTAACCACTATTTCTCTTTTTGAGTTTAAATAAGCATCAAGAGATTCTTTCTTTAGTCCCCTGGCATCCAGAAAGATCTTAAGAAAGCACTGAAAGCCGGGTGTATTCACTGTAAATATCGTACACACGTGTTCCAAGATGTTTGACATTTGAAGACTTGATTCTTATAATGCTTTGCAAAAATGTTGTCCATATTCAAGAAAATCAGTGTAGTGTGACCAGAGAAATCTTCCTGAACAAAAGTGAAGTTTACAGCTTTAAATAGGTGCGCAAAATTACTGTTGGGCTAGTGCCATGGCGAAGTTACTGATATGCAAAGGCAGCTACCATTGGTCGAACCAAAAGGACCAATAAGTAACAGGTGTCTGCGAATTTGCTTCCTTTGGTTCTTGATTTCATAACTTGGCTTGATTAATATTAATTAACTCAAAACTTACAGAAATGTTATTCAATAGCTTCAAGCACTTTTCTGTCAAACAACTCCACACACCAAAAGGTTTCAATTATTTTAATTCTCTTTTATTCTTAGGAATGAAAAATTCTTGAGTTATGCATGAGAAATTGCATTTCAGCAATGAAAATATTCATGAGTCTGAATTTATCACATAAAAATGCAAATCATAATTTCCTTGTTTGAACCAAGCAACTTGTAATGCTCATGAAGAGCGGTAAATGTAAACTACATTCGTTGGTGATTGTTTTATGAGTGATTTGACTACAGAAGTTAACATGAGCGTTCCAAACCGTGCATCGAACTCAAACACTACAATCTTGCCGGAAGAACGGGCATGCCACCGAAATCAACTTGCAGCTTCAGATGCAGTTGGGCGTTCAATGACTCTCCTACCCATTAATCATAGTCATGCTCTTCATCACGGAATAAAACTTATGCCCCATATGAACATGCCTCATCGTGAAGTAGGAGCAACTACACCTTTGGTCAATAATTCGAGCACTGCCAGTACTTGCTCAATGTCTCTACCGGGTTCTATTTCCTCTGCTTCAGATACGGTGTGCAACATTCTTCCACATAACACTTCTGATACCAGCTCAATCGACCTAGCTAGTCTATTTGAATGCCCTGTTTGTATGGATTATGCTCTACCACCTATACTGCAATGTCAAAGTGGACATATTGTTTGTGCATCATGCCGGTCCAAACTTTCATCCTGTCCAACTTGCAGGGGTAATTTGGGTAAGTCTCAAAACTTGTCATACTTCTACTGAAATTTTCCACATAGTTGAGAAACTATAAGGACTTTTTGCGCTTACACTTCGTATGAAATCTCATGTTTGATCCGTTGCTAGTTTAATACATGAAGAATTTTTTACCAGTTATTATACTCCGGCAGCTTCCAGTGGGTGACATTTCAAAGGACGCAGCCACTACTGACATTACAGTGAACTTGGTTCTCAGTGACATGATCTCATTTTGCAGGGGTGTGATATATGTGTTATTTTGTTTTCTCACACAACTACCAGAAGTCTAACCCATCTAGTTGTGCTACATGTTATCAGATGTTGAACATTTCTTCGAGGATTCATGCCAGGTCAGTGGACACGGTTTCCGTTTTCACAGGCCTTCACTACACTACAACAGTAACTGCTTTTCATCTTACCATTAGCCAACAGACATTTCTGGCATAGTAGGACCTCGGGGAAACAGGCGTTCTACCAGCATAGTTCTTTGGGTCATTGGGATATGCAAACCCGACCACCATGTCTAGGTAGCAGCTAACGGTAGGGATGTCGAGATGCACTCAGTGAGCTTTTGCACACTCGTGCAGTAGGCACTGGGCCATACCTATTGTGTAAAGGCTAGTGAAACTACGTGTTTGCCTAAACTCGGTTGATGGAGTGGGGTGGGTGACAGCAGTAAGGTGATCCCCTTGAGACCATCAGTGCCACGCAGAGACTGCCTCACTGGTGTGAAGGGAAGGGTTAGAACAGGTTGTCCCCCAAAAAGAGAACACTTCCCTGCCCTGTTGTCTTCCGGTCCCTTCGGTATAGGCTCTTTGTAGCCGGCGTTGTGACAACCGAACCGTATACTAACAATCGTCAAAAGACACGCCTGAAACAGATGACCTATGGGCTGTACGGTCATACAAATATTGTTTCCTTGCAGGTACCTTCAAGAAACTTTCACGACGTGAGCAGCTGGGTGTCAACTGCCCACACTTCCAATAGTCGATTGTATTCACTCTGACATCTCTAGCATGAACACTCACTTATCTTCTTAGTCAAATTCCCTCTCCAATGCGCCTTCATCCACTCAGATATAAATCTCTTTACTAATATGTTCTTTGCATGCTGCTGTGCAGCTTACCAACTTGAACGAAAGCACTTCTCTATGAGGTTGTATGTTAATTTTGTCTGTTTGTCCGTCATAGAAGTATGCCAATTAATATGGCACTTGGATGAATTACAAATGAATCCATCACCAAACATGAACTCAATAATTGGACAGAAGTTTCCATTTAAGAGATCATGCCAAGGTTATAGTTTCGTGACCCACAATTTCCAAATCCGATGACAGAATATGTGCCCAAACAGAAAGAGTAGCGATGGCATCTCCAATATCGCATATCGTAGCAGATATATTTACGGACAGCTGGCAACAAATACCATTATAAGCATTTCAACCCGCCTTTAGCGTATGGTTGCGATATGCAGATGACCCAGTTACTTTGCTGAAGTCAGAACATGACCATAGTTCCCAGAACAATACGCTGAACCTTAGCATTTTTAACACCATAGTAGCAACTCAAAGGAGGAAGAGCTCCCATCGCATAGCTCTTTGGGTCATTGTGATATCCAAGCGAGATGTTCGCACAAATGTAACATCTATCAGTCGGTGAGTTGTCGTTTGAGCAACGAAAACCATTGGTACCCCCGTTTCTGTTTAGCCTTTTATATATGTGAGGATGGATATAAACCTAGTTACCTACTTTTCAGGGAAATTGAGTGGCAACAGAATTGTGAGGGTGGGTGACACTTCACAGTTGCCCATATTATGGAAGGCTATTTCTTCGTAAGGTATCTGAGAAACAAGGAATAGTGCTTAATCGTAGAACCCGATGGACATCTGCTATAGGCTGGTCGCATAGCTTTTTCGGAATTTTGGGATTTCAGTTTACTTTTTGCGAAACAGGCTGTGATGCAGTATCACCAGCACCGGTATTCCATGGGGCACAGGAAAGTGTGCGATTTTCAATATCGACCTTATCTAGTTTCCCCTTCCCACCGCGAAGGCAGTATCAAAGTGGCACTGCTGGTCATACGAGGAAAATACTTTACTGCTGTCGCATTTCATTTAGCCAGTAGTACGACTTCGCTGTCGGTCCCTATCTTAGCCTTAAATTTCGCACTAACTTCCAGATTGCCAGTCAGCATCAACGTGGGACATGACATTACAGCATAGCAGTACATGTTGCCACGCCTTATATTAGGGACTGACACTCTCTAGATGGCATCTGATTGACTTGGTAATATCAGATGAAGAACCTCACATGATGTCTTCTGAACACATTGAGCAGAAATCTGAATATACTTGGCATGAATTTCACACCTGTTAAATGTAAGATCACGTTTGCAGGACTGATCTGCAAATACTCGCAGTTTGATGATAGGGAGTGAATTTGTTGAATGCGTTGACCACTTCACTTTTAAAGTTGCGTCAGCCCGAACCAGCTGGTTATTGACGAAACCTCAGCTCGGACAGTCGTCAACTTGCATCATTGGCGCTGGCAGGACAACCCATCACCTATTATGGAACGAGTTCACTGCTTCAGTTCTCTGTGTCCTGTTATACGCTTTATGCATGCCTGATAAATGAGGAGACACAAAGAGATTATAGTTATTTGACTGCATGTCTCTCCGCAGCATCACCCACATATGGTGAAACGATCGTGTGAGCTATGTCGAAGTTCGATGAAAGGTACGAAGACAAGACAGGCTATGTTGGAGCATAGCGTAGCAAACCACATTGCAACGGTAACTGCTTCTCGTATTACCACTATCGGAGACCTTTCTGAAATAATAGGATGTTGGGGGGAACGAGCGCTCCGCTAGCATAGCTCGTTGGGTCGTTGTGATATCCAAACCCAAACCCCTGTCAAGGTAGCGGCTTTCGGTACGGCTGCTTCAAGAATTCAAGATATAATTTCATTCCATAAATGTTTCACTATGTCAGAAAGTCCACTGCTTGACTGGACACCATTTTACAATCACTTATATGCTGTTTGACTAAACAGCATGATGTGGACTGAAGGGCGATGTGAAACTCATTGTCTCTTTCTGATCTCTACTTATGCACCAGCTGATGGCCATATGGAAGAAGTGAAGTATGAGTTCTACCGAAAACTCTCCAGCCTCTTACTGAAAGCTAAGCGTTCATATGTGGCTGTTGTAGTTAGTGTTTTCTATTCAAAATTTGGCGGGCTAATTCAGGCAGAATGTCACTTAGGTGTCACTTTCGGAATCCTAGCCACACGAATAGATAACTACAGTCGCTTTCTACAACCGCACTGAAACAGATCTTTATTCGTATAACAGGACACAACAAACTGCGGTGCAGGATGCGCATTGTTTAGCAGACAGTCACATCTCGTCAGTTAGCTCCAGAAATGATACAGTTTGGCAAACAGGTTTGCATCCGAGCTGAGAACTCGTTAGTAGCCAACCCGTTCGGCATCGGATAAAATCTCGGACAGGATACCAGTAAAACTAATTACCCTACGGGTGTCACAAGGTTTCTTCTCCGCCTTGTAGACTCGGATGATCAGTTAAGTACCCTAAGTCTGACTCAGCTACCTCTGATTCCCATACACTACCTAGTACTTCTGTCACCTTAATTAACGACTTCCTATCTCCATCCTTGAAAACGTTGGGTGGCAAACCGTCAGATCCTGCTGCTCTCCATCGTCTCAGATTCCACATACCTATCTCAACTTCAAGGAGAGTCGGTGGACAGACACCCACGTGCCACTAAGGTTGAAGCTGGATATTGGGCAAGTGAAGCATTGTGAGAGCCAGTTGAACTGTGCTTGAAAGTGTTCTGTGGAAGGTTCTAGCCTCCTGTCGTAGACGATTATCAGGGTACCACCCTTTTCGGTGGTTTTCTTTTCATCAACCATCGTTCTCTTCTTACTGGTCTCCTTCATAAACTCAAACAGTTGCAGAGTTTTACCAAACGCTTACGCCTTCTCCATCTCTCTTACTTTCGTTACCCACCACTGGTCGTGATCAATATGAAGACCGTTGATCAACTTACGTTTGAGTGGTTTCGCTGTTCATTGCAGTCAGAGCCAACTGGAATCAGTCTTCCCGCGTTAGTCAGTTCCGATGACATCACGGAAACCCGATGACGTTTGCTAACTTTCGGGTCTACGTCAAAAACTTTCCTTACCTCGGTTTCTACAGCAGAATCTATATCACGCCACACTATGTTTCTTCAGGGTGAGTATCGCTGTCACGTTCAGATGAATGCTTAGTTAACTCCTGTGTAGATGCTCACTTGGCGTCATCATCTATCAGTCGAGCACAGATAGACTTTACTGTCTCCTGTTTTCTGCAACCAGTAACGCTCAGACACGAGACCGTACTAGCAAGTGATCATCGTTCAAACTGATACTGGAGGAAGGGTGGTAATCCTCTACCGATCCTCTCCAATGTTGGATTATAGCAATATGATCTATCTATTTCCATTAATAGTCTGATGTCGGTGGATGCCATGTGAGACAGTGTCTCTCCTCATGCCTAAAGTTGGTGTTGGCTAGAAATAGGGAAACTTGACGTAGTGCAGCAAGCTTTCGGGTGTCACATTTGACAATTTCCTGCTGGGAGCTACACGTGGTACGGTAACTTCAATCTCTACAATAGGCTCTATTCAAATGAAAGTTAGTTAGAGTAAATTTACTTGTTCCTCCAACTGATGTCATTCTACAATGAATAACGATTTGGAATGTTTTCAAATCCCCACAGCTCCCTCAAAATTCGTTCTTTCCTCATTGAAACTGAAAATAAGGTAAACTAAACATAAGCAGTAAAACCTGTGTCTGTTCGTAAGCGTTTTAAATATACGACTGGATGAAGTGAGTAGTTAATACAACTCATACTTATCCGTAGTGGTAACATTTCATTGATTAGTCACTGGCGAGTAATCAAGTGCATACTGTTTAGTTGTAAGTGCTAACG